TCGCCATTCAGGCTAGTCCATAATCTGACTCTAGCTTACCTCATTGATCTCATATCTCATTTGTCATTGATCATGTTAAAATTTATTGACTGTCCATTCTGTGTTGACACGGCATATGTGTTATGCCAAGCATGTCCAATAGTAAAACTCACTTACTGAGCACTTCACATTCCCAGAAGCTGCTCTCAGCGTACTTTATAAACTTACTCCTTAAATCCTCAGAAGAATCTTGCAGGCTCCATACACTTATTAGGTCCATTTTACAGATGTAAAGGTGAGGCACAGAAAGGTGGTGACTTAGCCTGGGTTACCCAGTTAGGATGTAGGAGAGCCAGGATGTCAACCCTACTCCATATTACCTCTTCTAGTAAGTAGATTTTGTATCTTCATAGACTTTGTGGATTTCTGCCTTCCCATCTGTGCCCGTGTAATTCTATCCCATTTGAAACAGCTTCACGTTTTCTGCTTAGACGACTGTTTCTCATTTGTCGATATCCAAAATAGACTCTAATCTGAGGTGAAGCCATCTCTGACACTCCCACTCACTGAGATCCCCCCTCCACTAACTCTTAGCACTTAATGTTCATAGCATTTATTTCACGTTCAATCACACAATTTTTTGACATATTTTGCTCTATTATTCAATTCTCTGGAATGTTTACATGCACTGTTTCCCCAAACAGATTGTAAGTTCATGGAGGGCCAGGAAAATTGGTATACTTTTGCATGCCATTTGTATACCTTGCACATGATTGTGTATATAGTAGGTGTGCACAAAATGTTTGTTGGATGACTTCTGGAAGGAGGCTTCTTCCATTAACGATTATGCCCGACCACAAAAAGTCTTACTTTTAGGGCTTTCCTTGTGTTGTCTCCTTTGTCTTTCCTGCACCCATCCCCCAAACTGGTTAACCTTTACTTATCTCCTAGGGCTAAACTTAGGTGTCACACATCCAGGAAGCCTCCCCTGAGGTCTCTCTCCAGGCTGGTTTAGGTGTCTCTCCTGTGTTCCCACTACCCCTGATTCATCCTTCTATGTTACAGTACATTAAAAGGTTAGACTTCTGTATCAGTTTTCATATCTCTGGACCATGAACTCCTTGAGGACAAGAACTGTGTCTTATTTTGTTTATGTTCCTAGTGCTAAGCACAATGCTGGTGTATGGAAAGTAATAAATGAATATTGATGAATGAATGAATGAGTGAATGAATAAGTGAAAATAAGCGAACCCTTCTTAGTATGTTCCTAACAGCCTGCATGATGAGAAGAAGTAAGATACGGTGTATCCATGGAAACAATACAAAAATATATGTAGTCCTCTTCTTAACATTGGTCAAAAGCTTTTTTATAAGCATGGGTCAGCTAAAAGCACAGTGCATCCTTTTCAATTCAATTTAATTTTGAATATTGACAATGTGCTAGAAGTTGCTACCTGGAAAACAATACTTCTAATCCCTTAGTATCTTATGCCAATTTAGTTCTGATAATTGGGATTGCACCTCTGGTCACACAGCTCAGCTCTGTGCCGTGAATGGTCTGCCTTTCAAATCCATCCAGGGGCAGCTTGCCTCCTTCAGGCTGCACTCTTAGGGAGAACTGAAAAGACAGCAACTTCTACTTCATGAGTTGGACACTTTCCAGTTGTTATTGGGAAGAGACAATTCTAGATGATTCTTCCAAGCACAAGGTGTGATTGACTCTTTAATATACTTACTCTGCTGACAGCTCTGGCCCAAACCACCTTCTATCCTACTTGGGGAATGTCCATTGTTCTCTAGTGTATGATTAGCAGATTAGCAATCATGTAAGAAGCCAGGAAAATGAACTCCCAGTAAGCCCTTCCAAAGCAAGAGTAATTCATTACTCAGCCTGATTTCCACTTAAAATGTACTTTAAGCACACTTCCAGCTACAAACCCTAAATCACCCTGTGTTCACAAAGTCCATCATTTTTTATTTTATTGCATGGCGTTGGTGTGACATAATCCCTAGCAGAGCATCTCAGAGTGCTTTACAGATCAATAAATTACTCACCTGCACAGTTGGAGCAATGTTTGCAAGGACAGCACAGGCATTCTGAAGGCAGCCTGTCCTCCAAGAAACCAGCAAAGCTGTGTGGGTGCCAGAATGGGCCAGAGCAGGAGTAGGCCAGTGCATGGGCTGGGAAGGCAGTGTGTGAGAGAGGAATGCCCCAGTTAGAACTCTGTGAGTAAAATACATCAAAGTGTTTATTTTATGCAAAGAGCAGTTTAAATGATTCTAGAGCTAAGAAATCTGTATCCTTCAGGCAGTCAGCAAATCACACACTCAATCATTAACTCATCAATTGCCTTTCTCTCCTGGAAGGCCCAATCTAGCTTTTAAAATGATACAACCATAATTTGCAATGTTGTATCTTAAAAGTCAGGGATTGTAGAGTCGATGGTCTCTCTCGAACCCTTAGCCTTTTTTTTTTGTCCCACCAAACACCTGTGAGAGTGCACACACGCACAAATACATGCACTGACTCTATCTGAAGCCCAATGAGGATCTAAATCTAAAAATGATAAATTGGTGCTTACTCTATGCAAGACACCCTATTCAGGACAGCATTAAATAAAAAAGATGAGTAAGGCTCTTGTTTAATAGTCTATAGTCAGATAATTTATAGCACAGAAGCAAAGGCGAGACAAAAGTAACTTCAGAGTGTTTAAATTGCCATGAAGGAGGCACTGCCATTCTGTGGGATTACCAGAAAGCAGAGGCCATGTCCTCTTGGGGATCACCTGGGAGGCCTTATGGTAGGGGTGGTAATTCAGCTGGGCCTCAAACGATTTGGGTAGGTACAAATAGAAGAGGCTGAGCACTAAGACAGCAGCCAGGGCGTGGGGTGAGGAGCTGAAGTGTAGCACGTGCTCATTAATCACGCTTGCTCAGCGGGCGGAGGGTGGGACGGAGGGTGGGACGTGAGCAGAAGGTGATACTGGAGCAGCAGGGAAAGGAGAGAAGGCTAAGAGAAGGAATCTTCCTAGCACACCCTTGTCATGGAGGAAAAGATCCAAAACAACTAGGAACGAGTGAGTAATGGTTCAAGTAGAGGGAAGACCAGCACTGGCATTTCCAGACAGATCTGATCTCAGCTTGAGTGTCCCACTCTGGGCCTGGAACAAGCAATGAAGTCATCGTGCAGCGTCCCCGGGTTCTCCAACAGGCCAGATCCCGTGTGCGCTGGATGGGTGGTGTGCCCTGGAACTGCAGTGCGGGGCTCTGAGAAATACTTATTCAAAGAGAGAAATGTAACATGAAGAAATGGAAGAGTCTGAGTAGAGGGCCCCTTAATTTGCCAAAACCAGTGTCACAGGACTGAAATGATATGTGCTAATGATCCAACTCAGGTTGTTCTGAACATGTAGCAGTTCGGGAAAGTGTTTCCCTTGAATGGCCACTTTATTATTTTTTTATTATTATTATTTTTTCCTTTTTGTCTTTTTTACTGACCGGTAATGGGATCGCAACCCTTGGTGTCGCGCCCGTACCGCGACCGGCAACGGGATCGCAACCCTTGGTGTTGCACCCGCACTGCGCTCAGCCAGTGAGCGGGAACCGGTCTCCACATGGGATCCGAACCCTTGGCGGGAGCGCCGCCGCGCTCCCAAGCGGCGCACTCTCCAGTGCGCCACCAGGCCGGACCTGAATGGCCACTTTAATTCTATCCTATATGTATTGGTTGAGCTCTTACCATGGATACGGACATAAGTAAGACATGGTCCAGGCTATCAGAAAGCTCATGGTCTGGTAGGATGAGTATCTGGAATTGGAGTTTGGGGGCCCAGTAAATGAGACCCTTCCTTTGTTCACTTTAATTATAAACCATTTGACAGATAAGACAAATGAGTGGCCACCTGGAGAACCAAATATCACATTTACTAGCGGCAGAGCGGATGCTGGAGAAGTGGGCTCAAGCTTGCAGCAGCAGTGAGCTTCTCCGGCTGGACCCCAGCGTGGGACCAGCGTGCCCAGGCCGTGGCTGGCTGTGCTGTGGGTCTCATCTCGTCTCCGTGGGATGTTGCTCTTGTAAAACACACGTGAGGAGGAGCCGAACGGAAGCCTGGCTCCAAAACAGAAGGCTGAGTGAAGTGTGTGGGGGACCCTGCTCTCAACTTTACCCATTGGCATGAATTCCTCTCCTCCTTGGGAAGAGTAATTTAGGAGACAGAGAAAGAGAGAGACCAGGTACACTATGGCTGACTGACGTTCCTTCCCATTCCCCATCAGGTGTGTGCAATGTGCTCTGGGAACACGGATGAAGCAGCAGCAGTAAATTTGGGTTGTTAAGGAGGGCAGAGAGGCATAGGGGTAGGCAAGGTTACAACAGAGAAAGTGTCATTTGATTTGGTTCTTAAAGATGGCCTGGGAGTTTTCCATGAAGGATGTAAGGGACAATGGGTCCACATGCATGAAGACCAGGGAGGGCACAATGTGTTGGGAATAGCAAGGGCTTTAGTAGAGGTGGAATCACTGGGGTGTCAGAGGGAACACAGGTTGATTGCTTGATTCTGAATGGCCTGGATCAAGAGCCTGGTTGTGATCAGGTAGGCAGTAGGAAGCAATTGGCGCTGTTTAGGCAGAGGTGCAATATGATCAGAATTGCACTGTACAAAGACACCTCTGAATGCCCTGTGGAGGGTGACTCCTGGATACATGTCGGAGGTTGCAGGGGAGGGGGGAGCGTGGAGACAGGGAGAAGGTGGAGGCTAGCTGACTAGTTAGTGCAGAGTTGCAGTGGGATTTATTCCCGTTCAGACTCCCTGACTTTGCATTTAAATAGGAGGAAATGGAAGCTAAATTCAAGGTAAGATATTACATTTTTAAGGTAATTCCTCTGACTTTTCTTCATTTTCTTCATATACTACTATAGTCCAGATATTTCAGTCTTTAGGCTATTCTATCAACTACCATTTTAAGATGACAAAAAATTGTTTCAGCAGAATTTTTATTTTCCTTCTGTTTTTTCTCCACAGTATCTCCCAAAATTGTAGAGATCTCTTCAGATATCTCCATTAATGAAGGGAACAACGTCAGCCTCACCTGCATAGCAACAGGTAGACCAGAGCCTACGGTTACCTGGAGACACATCTCCCCCAAAGGTAAGCAAAGCAGTTCTGTGTGTCGTGTCAGGAGAGGAAATGGGAGCATCGGTGGCCACAGCTAGGAGATCACGGTACTGTCACCTAGTCTAATGGTGTCTGTGTTTTCGGTAGCCCGATCATAATCTGCCCATTGTTTTGCAAGGAATTGTGGTGTTCTCTGCAAAACAGGCATATTCTCTTAAGATTTCACAAATCATACCTGAATATCTCTCTAATCCCTTGGAAATTAATAACAGTTGTCTGGGTGAAACGGTGGTAAGATGTTCTGGGTGAACTTCACACATCAAGTTTGATGATGGAAGGATCTTCTTTGATGGCATCGTGCAGCTGGTTGTTTTAAAAGAGAGAAAACACAGACACATAATGATGGATGAGAGCTTTAAATGGATATATTCCTAGAAGGAGAATTTCAAGTCTGAGCCTCTTCAGCATTGCCAAAAATCTGGCCATTAGCTGTTTTTGTGGTTTTGTTATTATTTACTCTTATTGATCCTATATAACAAATATAACTTAATGTGTGACTAAGTTGCAAAAATCACTTTGTCTAAATGTTTAGATGTTATGTAGACCAGACTAAGTGTTGTATTTGCTTTCATGGATTGAGCGTGAAAACCTTCATAATTTGAGACAAGATGTCATTTATTATTAAGCCAGCTTTTATTTGGGAGCAAGTAACATAATATCATTTCATTCAGTATTAAATATTTACTGAGTGCTTACAATAGTGCAGGCTCTCTTCTAGGCACTGAGGGATACAGCAATAAACCAAAACAGACAAGCTTCTGCTCTCAGGAGCTCACATTCTCATGAGACAGATGAAAAAAATAAGTACACAGCATAACAGGTGGTGATGAGGATGAGAAAGTAGAGCAGTGAATGTTTGCAGATGGGTTTGGTCAGAGAAGAGCTCTAGAAAGGCAACATTTGAGCAGAGACATGAACAGAGGTCCTGAATTGCATTGCTTAGTGCTGGATAATGTGAAATTCATGTATGCGATTGTGCATGTGTGTTTGTATATATGTGTGTGCATTCATGGGAGAGGTATGTGTGTTACTGAGTAGTGAAAGTTTGAGGATTCCAAAGGAACCATCGTGGTTGGCTTGTTGCAGACTAGGTGCTCTAAAAGTGGACCCTAGGAAGGTGACTGGTGTGTAGGAAGCTTATTAGAAGGTGCTCTTGGGGTCACTTCCTGTGGAAGGGAAGGGCAGGAAGCAAAGTTGGGCGAGGGAGAAGGTGAGTTGCAAGGCAGTCCAGGAGAGCATCCCAGCTAGCCCAATGGTGGGTTCTGAAGCTAGGATGACCACTCAGAAATGTCCTCTCTTCGGGTGATGATCTGGCCCTTTATAACAGCACAGCAGGCAGTTGCTAAATTTAGGCTGTTCGCGGAACAGGTGTGGTGCTGGTCCAGGCATCTCTCTTCCCATGAGGCAGTCCCCACAAGGGGCTGACAGCTGAGGGCTGTCCTCCAGCAGCATATCCGTCCACTGTCCGTGAGTCCTCTGCTCCTGAAGGAAGCAGTGCATCACTGTGTCGACGGCCTGGACTTCTGAAAACGTCAGGGTAGGACTGTGAATGGACCCCAAATACTGAAATTCCTCTCTCAGAACCAGTGATAGTTTTCCCTGATAGATGTTCTCGGGGAAGGTGTGAGATTTCCATTTGTGCTTGGCCTGAGTTCCTGGGAGCTGTCCTGTGCCACCATTCCTGACACTATCACTGTGAAGGAAGGGATCTGCGAGAGCTCTGCATGCCTAGGCCAGCCTCTCCATTTGCAATGACCTTGCGTATTGACTGACTAGAAATCTGCAAGGAGGCTTCAGCTGTGCATGAAATCATTAGTGATGGAGGGTGGCCCAGGGCAATTCTGAAGGAGGGGCCATCCAAATGGACAGACTTTCTAAGCTGTGGTGTATGCCATTCATCACAGCTCAATGCTCAGTCCCCAGTGCTACTGGATGCCAAGGCAGCCTGTGCCTTTAGAATCTGCAGAACATCTATCATCTGGGGTGGACCTCCTCTGCATTATGTCAAGAGGATCTGTCTCCTGTCTGGTGTCTTTTCTTACTCCCTCCTCTGGCTAGCCAGGTCTTTGTCCATTCCTGGGTGTTGTGTGGTTCCCCCTGCTTCCGTCCTGCCCTCATGTGTCCCCACTTCCCTAGACGTTTCTGTTCTGTGCTTCCCCTTTCTCTCACAGCCCCCTGAATGCTTTTGCTTTCATTTCATTCCTTTCCACATTTTCTTTCTTCCCCCCCATGTTGTCTTCCCTCTAATGTTTGAGCCTGTCCATTCACCTGGCTGATGTTCATGCTGCTGTGTCTTAGAGTCCCTTTTCCCCCCTTTTATGACCATTGAGTAGGTTCATTTCCCCAGGGAACTTTTACCTGAGCCTGGGCCAGATGCTCCCATTTTACTGAGGTTTCAGCTGCTATGGAAACAGGATGGATCAAGAGGAGAGGAGCAGGATAATCAGAACCTACCTGTGGATTACAGTATTTTAGATGAACAGCGTTTCCCAGGTCCTGGGTCCAGATTAGCTATCCGTGACTCAAACTGATGAGACATGCCCAGCAATAATTAATCACCTCGGAATGCACCAGGGCGCCGTGTTCCCAGTGACTGATTATTTGGAGATCAGAGATATCACTGGGCTACTGCCAAATCTGAACTGAAGCTGGAGACCCTTAGCAGGCAGCCCTTCATTTTCCCCAGTAAATATTTTCAAAAGGTGCTTATTTTAAATAAGTTAGGACAAGCTGGGTGTTCCTTGGAGAAAAAGATATGTACCTCATCAGAGGCTCCAAAGACAGACAGCTGTTGTCATCTTTTGTCCTGTTCTCTGTGGGTGGATCCTGTTTCAGTCAAGACCATTCTTCCACACCTCCAGAGGTCCACACGAGCGTCTGATGGGGCTGAGCACTTCGGCACCGTGAGGACTCCGCTGCGTTTTCTCTCTCCAGACTGATCTGTTCTCTACACTTCCGAAAAACTCTAGTTTCCTTCTTCCTAACTCACATGGTACTGCTTACAACAAGCTTATATAAGCTTCTGTAGATTGTGCATTTCTAGCCTTGACCACCTATTGTGTGGAAAAGGGTATAGAATTGTTCACCACTGTTTTAGGAGTGGCTCATGTACTGTGATATAGGGCAGCTGGGGAGTGGCCAGCTGTGGGAAAGGAGGTCGGGGCCAGCGTAGCACTTTACATAGATGGAGAAAGGTCCGTTGTCCATATCTGAGATGGAGAGGGAGGAAGGGACTGCCAAGCTCCCTCTTGGCACTGCCACTGATTGTAAGAAGTAGTTTCCTGTGTATCATTACTGACATGATGTCTTTTTAGTTCCCCTCATGAACTTCTCTCTTCCAGAGTTCAAGGTGAGAGTGCACTAGCCTTTTAAAGATACCTCTCCTGACTCTGCACACCTGTTTTGAGGTGTGTAGATGTTGGTCTTTTCAGGAGGAAGAGCCCCATCCCACTGTTCTGCAAGGAAGAGCCATCTCTATCTGCATGAGGGATTTATGGACCCCTGGCTGCAGTCCCTGGGAGTGTCAGCATACCAGTGCACATGCAGACACGTTTCCCATTCGTGACTTTGTCTTGCCTTTTGTCCTCATCTGGGCATGCAAGAATATGCTTTAGCACAGGCCTTAAACTAGGCTTTCTAACTCCAAAAGAATACCTTTAATGCTGTCTTGTTCCTCTGAGTCTTCCCTAAGTAAACAGAAATATGATCTCTTTCAATGCATCCTAAAAGACGCTATGTAGGGCCTCACTTTTCATAGAAGAGTATTCTCAAAGCCCTGTTTTTATGTCACCAGTTTCTGTCGGATTGTAAGAGATTTAGAGAGAAGCCTGGGATTCCTATATTGTCACATTCCTGGGAGCCCAACATGAAACGCAGGTGGAGGAGTGAGTCCAGGCACTCGTCTGTGGGTTTCCCTACACATTTGGAATTAGGGGCCACTGAGCGTCCTAAAGGAGGTGCCCTCTTTGGTGTGCCAACGTCTACATTTCTCTCATCAAACAAAACATTGACAATACAAACCTCATTCAGGCTACCTAAAGGACACTTGGTCCCAAAGTAATGATTGGGGGATTCAGTAAGGCCCAGTGTGAGTTGTTGACAGACATGCACTGATTTCTGATGCGTTTGCATCCTGCTGTCCCATGAGTTCTTTGAGACCAGGGCCTATGTCTCACTTCTCTTTGGGGCTTCACCTTCTAGCACAATGCCTGGCTCCTAGAAAGAGTTCAAGAAATATTTGTTGATTCGGTGATCAAGCACTGACATATGCCACTGTCCCAAAGGGGATGCCTCTTCTCCCAGTCCAAAGACCTCACCCAGATCTTGGGGGGGGGGTGTCCTGCTCCACTTTGATGTTTGTAGTGGAGACCTGCTGTGTTTCTCACTGAAGCTCTCTCCTGGTGAGTCTCCAGGACATTTTCTCTGGTCTTCACAGAACCTCCCAGTCTTTCCTGAAGTCCCCCAGAAGGGAACCTGCTGTGGCAGGGCTTGACTTCTCCTTGAAGGAGAGACTCCTTTTTAAGTTCTCTTTTGCAAGAGCAGAGAAGGCTCACAGGTGACTTGGTGGTGGGTCTTCAGTGAGCTCCCTTCTGCCTTTATCACAGCCTTGCTGCGGTCCTCTCGTGACGTGTGTCTTTCTCTGATATGCTCTTCATCTGACCCTTCTGGAGGCACATGATCTTTGTGTTGCCTTCCTGTCCCCAACTCTCATGTGCCTAAACCCCCAATGGCTCCTAACCACGGTTTCCTAAAGCAGTCCTGGATATGCAAGGGAGGGTTAGTTCACCTGTATATGAAAATGTGCTGCTCCTTGTGGGTTTAAAAAAGAAAAAGAAAGATATTAGTAGAAAAAAGAAAAATATGGGCCGAGCCCATAGCGCACACGGGAGAGTGCGGCACTGGGAGCGCAGCGAAGCTCCTGCCGCGGGTTTGGATCCTATATGGGGATGGCCGGTGCGCTCACTGGCTGAGCG